CCCTTGCAGTGTTCCAGGCCAGGCTGGATGGGGCTTTGAGCAACCTGGTCTGGTGGGAGGTGTCCCTGCCCATGGCAGGGGGGTTGGAACTAGGTGGTCTTTAAGGTCCCTTCCAACCCAAACCATTCTACGATTCTATGACTTCCTGCTTCCTTCATCCAAATTTCAAGAAGACAAAACACCTGAGGGGGTTTGTTCAGCAGCTTTTCCACGAGTGCTCGGGTGCAGGGGCCTGTTGGTTCTTTCCGTTCTGCTGGTGTGGGTGAGGCATAGCTCCAGCGGCGTTACACCAGCATCTCACTGCCCAGAGAGCAGGGGCTGGCTTGGTGCCGGTTGTTTCAACTGTGCCAGCGCTGACTTTCTCTCTCACATTTACCTGGGTGGGTCAGAAGTTCCAGCACTGAAGCGAGAATCACTTGAGGGAGAAAATCACCCCCAGCCTTGGCTTGTTAAAACGCCACTGGCACATTGTGTTTCTCTCTGTCATCCTTCCTGATGTGACCAGGCAGGGTAAGGCTGACCCTGACACTGGAAGGCAGGCTCGGCACAATAACACGTTCCCAGTATTTATAATTACTTCATCATTTTGCTAAACAAGGCTATTTCCCCTCAAAAGCAACCTTAATGGTTTTCTCTTGGACGAGGCACATACTTAGCCTGAGATCCCGCCATGCTGAGGTCTGAAGGGTGTCTTGCATTGCAGGACCCAGGCATCATGGGCTGGATGGGCTGGCTGAGCAACAGTCTGGCACGTGGGAAAGAGAAAAAGCAACACTGCTGTAACAGAAGGACCACACAGACCCCGCGTTTTGAAAACGAAGGGGATGCTTTCGTAGGCGTGGCCCAAGGCCGAGCGTGAGGAGATCCAGCCTCAGCTCCGGGCTGCGGCGGGCGCACCCTGGGCGCTGCGAGGTGGAGGTCGGGGCAGCACATGTGGGTGCCTCGCTGAGAGGCCGGGCGCTAGGATTTCGGGAGGGTGACATTTCTTTTGCTCCCGTATTCGAGCTTTCTTTGTATCGGAATGTAAATTTTTCGGTTCACGTGTCTAGCTGGATGCCAAAGTGGATAGCGGAGACATCCCCCCCACCGCCCCGGGGTTGGGAGGCCGGAGGCGGCGCCATCAGCCGCGACCCCCCACGCCGGACTCAAACCGAGAGCA